CCTAATAGTCCAGTAAATTTTCTTAATTTGGACTTGTTGGAGGAACAATTTGGCATCAAATTTCCTGAGTCAGAACCTCTCCCCAATACTTTTTCCCCAAATTTAAGATTTTAATATTTATCTATCCAATTTTTAGGTGGTATTACATCACAGTCCACCGTAAATTTATTCAGAAAATTATGTTGAGTCTCTTGTTGATTTGCACTAGTATCTGGCTAACATCTTATATCTACAATGACAACTCAACATAATATAGAAATCCTGAGTTATAATACATGCAAGTTTTCCAAAATCTTTTTCTTTTCTTGCTATGCTTTTACTTGAAAGACAAACAAAAGAGGAAGAGAGGTAGATGACGAAAGTAAAAATCTGAAGTGTACGTTTGCGAGACGTAACGAGTGTATTATACTAGGACCTTCATGCAGAGTCTGTGCTAGTTTGATTATTTCAAACCTAATTTTTCTCTATAATTAGTTTGTGCAAACTTGGAACAAACTAGAACAAATTCGTAGTACCCTAGTTCGAAGGAGTTAGGATCTAGGCAACTTGAAATCCTAAACTAGTTCGACTACATTTTTGCAAGCATCATGAATGTGTTTAAAACTAACCTTGTAAGACATATTATGTATAGTTTTACAAGCATATTTGCAACAAAAAGGTAATTTTATAGGAGTAAATCTTATATATATATATATATATTGACAGTTTATATACTATCAACGTTGGATTCATGACATATGTGCAAAGGTTGAATTTCAAATTCAAACGTTACATACTTGTTATTCATCTAATACTGACAGTGTATAGGAAAGATTAATCCATTTTATACATATAGAAATTTATTCACAACAAAAGTATTGAAACTAAATTAACAAAGAATAGTTGAGATCTAACTTGTTTTTGAATAATCGATGCATATGTTTTTCAAAAAAATAAAAAAGAATAACCGATGCATGTATATAAAGCCAATTAAGTACTTGCGAGTCGCTTTTTATAAGCAAGATGCTAGTGAATAGGTTACCCACTAAAAACTATCTTATCAAACTACTAAAATACAACTAAGTAGGGTTGTAAACTAATAAAATCCTTAATGAATAGTTTGAACTCGATTTATTAAAGGTTTGTTTGACTTCAATTTTTAATGAACTCGAGTTCGACTTCAAACCGATATTTTGAAAATCTAGCCCGGATCGCTCAATCAAACCGTCGACCGGATAGTTTTTGGGCTAAGTTTAGGCTGAAACCAATTAGTCAAAAAACTACTTTATTTTGAAAGAACTAGCTGCACCGTCCAGAATCAGTGAACCAACAAATCGGGACAATTTTCACTAAATCGTGGATCTTGATTTCAATTAAAGAAGCAAGGCCCACTCTTGATACACGTTGTGCAGCTCCTAGCTACTTTTCTTATATTTTTCATCTAATCCTTTTGTTTTGTTTAGATTACAAAGCCACCCTAAATTTTGGCAATATATATTATTGTGGTATTTCACCTTCTAAAAATTATAGTTTAGTTCTAAATTATTTAAAACTTCAAAATTTTTTCCTAAATTTTATATTTCTATCTAAAAAAACATTATTGCAATTCTACTATATATATTGTAGCTTAATTTTTGTATAAACTTTTCAATTTTTATTCATAAATTTGTAAGCTTTTTTATTTTTAATATTATAAAATATCATGTTTTATGAGAGTTAGTCCTTTTTTCGTTTGTAATGATCTATATAATAATAAAAATAACATATTAATCATTTATGACATATTTATAACATCATGGGTCAATAACGGGTCGATTACAGTTGGCCTAACATTGAACCAATAACCCTTGATCCAATAAGATTTTTGGTTCACTAAACAGTCTAGGTTTCAAAACCTTGCTTCAAACAAGAGTTGATATTTGATTAAAATATCAATCAAATATGAATTTGTATATATTTAGTTTGTTAAGGCTGACAAGGTTTGACTATATTTTTATATTTTTGCTTAATATTTTCAATAATTTATACATTTATTATTTTATAGTGTAGATATTATATGTGCATTATTGATAAAATTATACTAAAAATTTGTAAAATTAAATAAATTTTTGAGCTCTCGAATCAGACTTGAGCCATTCAAATGTTAAATCGAGGCAAACACCTAAGTTCAAAAAGTTAATCATTTTAATTCAATTCATTTACAACAACCTACAACCAGTGTTTTTAGAATCGAATCAAACCATCGATTCAATCAATTGGACTGGCCGTGGTACCGGTCCGGTTCTAAGAGAAACCTAGAAAGTTAAAAAAACCAATTAGAGACGGTCAAAACCGCTAAACCGAAATGAATCAGTTAAAATTGGTCAAGTCTCGTTTTTGAATTTTGACTTGGACTTTTTTGTGGGTTGCTCAATTTTTGTAAGCTTTTGGGCTTTGTCAAAGCCAAACAACTATAGCTAATAGTCATCTAGTACAACTAAGTTGATTAGTTAACTTGATGGGCCAATATTTCTCTCAATAAAAAAAAAAAAAATCTTAGTTACCCAATTTAAAAACAAAATGACTAATCCAACTAAAGTTGTAAACAAATCGAATTGAGTCAAATTTTGAACTTATAGAGTCTAAATCAACTTGTTTATGTGTGGGCTCAAGTTCGAACCTGAGTTCGACAAGTCAAGAAATTGGAGTTCAATCTGAACTCGACTAAGGAAAAGGCAGGTTCAAACTCGAGTCAACAAGACTTGCGAGTTGAAGCTCAATTCGTGAGCAATTCGAATTGTCAACTCGTGTTGTGTTCGATTTTCTAGATCACAAGCAGGTCAAAGTCAACTCGAAATTGTATTTAGGAAATCGGAATTATTGTAAATTGTAATTGATAGAGAGGCAATTATGTAATTTCATATGCACTCGAGCTAATCAAACGGCTCGTCAAGCTATCGAGCTTGCGAAAATATCAATTTCGAACTTGACTCGCTTATGATAACATCCACTGATGTTCGACTGGAGCTCGGTCTAGTTGTATGCAGCCTTAAATCCAACTAAAAACTTAAAAAACCTTAATTCTTCCTCTTCCAAGAATCTCATCTCTGAGAGCCATACTCCAATCTCACTCATCTCCCTTTTTTTTTGGCCCCCTTCTATTTTTTCATTTCTTTTACATTATTGGTGGTGAAGATAATGATGAAGTTGAGTTCAATAGATAACTAGACACACTTGTTTTCCTTTTCCTCATCCATCATTTCTTTTCATATTCATGATTTTTTCCATTAATTTTACAAATCTAATATACAAATATGATATTACAAATCCTATTAGATTTGTTATTGAGTTAAGAAAATTAAACTCTTCCTTGTTTAATTTAAGATATTGGACAAATTTGTTCATAATTTTGTTGATTCCTTAATTTTTTTATGAAATACTTTTTCTTTTATTTGGGGATGAATTAGAAGGTACTAGATTAGTAAATCTTCTCTAGAAGATATTACAAAATTTATGGTTTTTGTGTTGATTCTACATATTTTCTACTTATTTGTTATTTCTTATTTTTTAAAATTAAAAAAAATCAATGAACTAGGATTAAACCAGTTGAATCTTGACCTGGACACTTTACCAATTCACCCACCGGTCCAAGTTTCAAAACATTGCCTATTACTCCTACTAGTTGAAATTGCATCTCACTCACCATGTATTAAAACAAGAAAAATAATTATAATAGCCCGCTTTTTTTTTTATTTCTGCATTACATCTAATAAATCATATGCATCTATATATCAAAAAAAAATCTTGCAATCTTCACTTGCATTTATTTAATAACAAATCATCATACCAATAAGCATTTTATTATCATTATATATATATATTTAACGCCACCAAGAAAATCTCCCGCCAATAGCTTCATCCACTACTAAACTTCCCGCCAAATCCCATCCCCATCCCTGGCATCTTCCCGCCAAACAAAAACCACTATTCTTTCAGCCCTCTCCTCCCTCAGCTTCGATCAATCGTTCTTTCAGCAGCCATGGAGAAATCATTGCAGATTCGTCCCCGAAAACGGAAGCAATACTACTCATTGAAAACGTCTTCAAACCCCTTCATGGGCAGATTCACTCGCAGCAAATCTCAAGTTCATTTCCACCAAAACCGCTCCGGCCGGACCTGGACGATACTACCTCTGATAAGTCAATTTATCACCAGAAATTGCTGCAAATTTCTCCTCTCAAGAAACCCAAAAGGGTCCACTACGAGATAGTAGAAAATGAAGCTGCATTGGACTTGTCCATTAAGGATCTTCGGGCCCGGGCCCGAAGAGTGTTCTCACCCACTACTGCAGTTGTTGAAGGGAGAACGGTACTTGTCGGGTGGGATTTGATTTTGGGGAAGAGAATTGTAATGGGTCCTCTAAAGTGTTGAAGAATTTTGGAGATCTTGAGTTGGGGGTAAAGGGTTTGGATCCAGATTTGGGCTCCTGGGCGGCTTTGGTGTGGCTAACCAAAAGGAAGGGAGGAATGAGAAAAAGAAAGTGTTAATCCGGGTTCAAGGGATCCTGAACCGGGAACGGAAAGTCATGGGCCTGACAGTAAGGAGGATGAGGTGGATTTGAGCAAGATAACCTCACCTGTCAAGGAAAAAATGGTCAACAAAGTTTCTAACTCTGGAATGGTAATAAATTTGTTTAGTTTTTCTATATTCTGTTTTGTATGATTGTTTAATTGATCTTTGTAAGGAAAATGGTGTATATGAACACTCAATGGGAGCTTAAATTTTGCAATTTTTGTGGCCTTGGAATTAGATGGACTAAATGGAAGAGAGAATGAGATTATTTGTTAATTTTTTACTGCATTCATATTCTATTATCTCGCCATAAGATCCTTTAGTAGATGATGCCCAATTACTATTAGTCTTAATTTTGGTATTATTTTGCTTTCTTTTTGTTGTCCTTTTTTGTGTTTTCTGGGCTAATGGTAGAATTTGATGTGGAATTTCTTGTATAGATACTCAATTCCTTGTCTCGAAGGAGGTTTTCAAGTCTCCAAGCTCTTTCAGCTATAGAAGATTGCTACCATTTCTAATGGACATGGCGAAGGATGATTCTGGTTAAGTTCTTCCCCCTTTGAGCAGTCCTTACTTTTTTCTTTTATGGACAAGTAGTTGCAAATGTATCAGAAGAGAGGTTTCTTTTTCTTGGTCATGTAGTAGATGATATGGATCAAAAGTAGAATTAGTGGAAAAAAAAAAGAATTGATAGACATCATTGTTAACATTCTCTGTATTTTGTTTATAGGTACTTCAAGAATTGAAATTGTTGACAAAGATTTTTCTTGCCAAGTTCAAAACCTGAGTAATGTAGATTATACTGTGTCATCAGCTCTGATGGATACTGAGAATGCTAAAACCAAGGATGTTGGTCAACATATTGATGATAATAAATTGTTGGAGAAAAGAGATATTGAGAATGTCAAAAACAACCTTCATGTAAGGGAGCAGGATCCGAATGATCCCAACAAGAAGTTGCTTCAAACTGAAGAAAATGTCAGCTCATTTGTAGAGGGGATTGCTAATGAAAATGGTTTAGCTAGAGGTGATAAATCGATCGAAGATTGTGTACAGACAACACCGCCTGATGCCACCATTTTGAGCGAGATTCATGATCATGATGATAGGGCAAATGGAGAAATTAACAATTTGAAGACTGGGAATCACATCCTTGGGCATCCAGCAAATGGAAGTATGTACAGCAATCAAACATTCTTGCATGAGAATTTGCATAGGAGTCCTAGAAGAAATAACACCATGTCAATGACTAAAATGGTAAGCAGTTTCTCCATTCTTGGTTCATATGCTTAATGTAATTGAAAGTCGAAGATCAATATTTTAGCACCTTGCAATGTTCCAGAAATATGATCTGAGATTCTCGAAGTGGTTGAATTTGCTAATTAAGATGTCTTGACACTGCACAGATTCTTAATCCATGTTCTCGCGTCGAAAATATTCAAAACTTCAAGCTCCTTCAGCTACAGAAGATTATTGCCCTTTCTGATGGATGTTGCCAACAGTAAATCAATGATATCTCTTATCTTTTCTCTTTTCGAGCAACTAAATCTCAAATCAGCATGCAGAGGCTTTCACAAACTAATCTTTATTATACCAATTTCTTCTTGTAGGTTCTACCAACATTGATCAATCTCCTAATATACGGAAGATGGAGAATGATCAGCATTCACCACTATTGGCTTCTTCAAATAAGGATGCCTTCTTGAATAAGAATGAAGTTGACATATTCCAGGAGAAAGAAGCTAAAAATGATGAACCATGTTGTCCAATTGCTGTCAAGGTCCATTCCATTGATGGTTCATCTGATGACGTCTGCCCAGATTTGTCAACTCCCTTCTCCTGTTCCTGCAGTTCTAATGGGAAGTCTAACCCTGCATCTTCTGAGAATATCTCTCAATGTGATATGCTGAATTGTTTGCAGGTGGAAAGTTCTTCAACTTGTACACATGGTCAATTGAATAATCCCAGAGATTTGGAAGTAGTACTCCCTACAGCTGATTTCAGAGTTTGTGATGGTGAAACTAACTGTTTAACAGAGACATCATGCTCCGCCATTAAGGATGACTCTTTTGCCTAAAGGATCCCTACTGGAGTTCTCGCAGCATGAACAAGTTGATATTGGAAAAAACAGCCTGGTTAAGGGCCTGGATAATAACAACAGTAAAGGTGCCAATATCAGATCTCTCTCTTTGGACCAATACTCATCAGGAGTTGGAGTTTTTTCCTTTCAAGGAACTGATAGTTCTATAAAAGGAATATTAAAGAGAAATCCAAGAGGATGCAGAGGGCTGTGCAATTGTCTGAACTGTGCTGCCTTTCGCCTGCATGCCAAAAGAGCTTTTGAATTCTCAAGAAATCAAATGCTTGATGCTGAAGAAGTAGCTCTGGGTTTGATTGACGAATTAGCTGAGCTTCGAAATTTGTTGGAAACATCTGCAGTTGATGGCAGCAAACTTGGTGCCTTCCCCTTCAATAAGGTATAACCGCACATATTAATAATATACCTCTCATGCAAGTTTTGCCCTTCTTGTTTAGTCTTTGTGCTAGTCAGAGTCGATCTCCTAACTGTTTGCATCATCTTTGGTGCATTCTTTTGGATCTCTGGCTTTCTGTACTGAAAGAGTTGCCCGACTCAATCTTGTTCTCTTCGCATTCTCATTCGAGTGAAATGCATAACACTGTGTCCAGCTGAAATCCAATGCTCTTTCATTTCAAAGTCCTTTGTCTTATCTTTCATGACGGGTGAGGAACATGCAGATTGCTCAGAACCTTGTCTATATGCTGTCTTGGTGTTTAGATTGAAAGCAATTCTGTACTCATAGCTTTAACTTAATCTGAGAAAATTTGGGGCTGAAGTGTAGTGATTCTTTTCATAATTTCTCAACACACTAGTTTTAAATAATCTGCAAGTCTGCAGCTAGATTTCTCACTAGATTATTTTAACTTTTTATCTTTGCCAGTTTGATGCCCTACTAGTTGAATTTGCCCAAGGAATCACTTTGAATTACTGATACACAAACCTAGTAGACCTGACAAGGTTGTCATCAGGACCATTTTGCATAAAGGAGCATATTGATGCATCTTCTACTGCATCGTCCTGCTTTTTTAGTTATTAGGGTGCATGGTTGCTGAACTCTATCCAACAAGGGCATCTTTTCCCATCTTCTAAAATTAAACCTAGTTCTATGCTCAGATGCTTGTCTTTTGCTCGTAACTCTTTTTCATCTTCATGTAAAATTCAGTGATTGTCCCATGCAGTAAGCACCCTTAGAAGACAATGTTTGCTCAGGTGGATCCGTGAATATTTATTTCAGATGCTCCTCAATCTAACAGTGGGGAGTCCTGTGTTAAAATATGCTCTAAAAAATATGTCCTGATCATACTTAATCATATGAGATCCATAAAGAAAGTTGAGACTTCATGCTATACGGATCATGTAAACTTACCTGGTATTCACTGTTGGAACATACATCTAATATTTCCTGACATAGGGTTTATATAGCTAAAAACATGAATTCTTGTACTTCTCAAGTTACAATCTGGTGGATTTACTTGACTTCCAGTGAAGATGTTTAACACTGGATCTGTACTTTAAACATGCATTCAGTATGATCTTCTCTTTGTTGGGTTCACCACCAGTGTGACTACTTACCAGCCATCTGACACTAAATCTGAAACATAAATCATGCATGTTGCTTTTATGCTTTAAATTAGTATCAATACTTGAGCTACTTTGACTTTTCAAGAAAATCGGGAAAAGAGTTTCAATCAGTATCAGTCTATGTTTTATGCATTGATGAGCTCCAATGCTGATATGGTTGTGTAAGCCTAACTATTATGTTATGCACTGTCTTGACTCTTTTCTCTCTAATATGACAAAATGAACTTGTCCCCATTTTATATTGGGAAAAGCTGTAGATGTCCAAGCATCTGATCGTTTTTATAATTCATGGTTTCAGCTTCTGGTGAGAGAAGCGTGTCAAAAAGCATTGAAAACAGAGCAACAGGCCAAACAACGCCTTGGCCAAATGATTGATGATCTGAATGTGCATTGCAGAATCACAGTAAGTGGCAATTACTGTTTGCTAATGCTTCTTTATTTACTCAACTTGTATAATCATTTATTACTGAATACTTTCTTACGTGCTGTGATGTCCCAGCCCTGCAGCCCCCGGGGTGACATTTTCCAGATGTATTGAAGAAAAGTCTATTCCAAGCAGGGACCTTTCAGCAAGACCCTAATCACCCAAATGGAGAGCAAAAAGAGAGTGATTTTAGAAGCTCAAAAGTTCATATACATGCTAGCTGCCTGCAGAATGCTGAAGCAAGATAGAGTGGTGCATCTTCTGGCAGACTGTTAGTATCTTAGCACTCAGTGGCAGCTTTGGCTGCAGAGACAGGTCTTATTGTAGTTACACACCTTAACTTGTTTCAGTAATTATGCGTTGGACACAGGATTTTTAGTGTTAAATGATGGTAAGGCGAAGTGCAGCATACTTTTTATACATTTGTATGTACAGGGTAAATTTTTTTTTTTTTTTTGCCTATCTATTTAGAAAGATTACACCTGGCTTTCATTTAAGAATTTTGACATTCTTAAGGACAAAAAACTTCAAACATGTCAAGATTTCTTTCGGCTTCTTTCTGTTAATTAACATCTATGCTTCAGTTCGTGTAAACATGCAATTTCTACGGAGATGCGTTGTAGATTTGTCTTCTAGTTTCATTTCTGTGATTAACAAATGCACTTGCCCTGCCTGGCTAACTCTCCCCTGCTTCCTTCCTCATTTTACTGATCAGTTAAATTGATCAAACAAGCAAGACAATTGGTCTTTTAGTAAAATTTGTCATCAATGATTGAACTAAAACCAACCTAACCTGTCCCACTTTTAGTTGCAAATTAAATTTATGCAACTGTTCATGCATAGTTCAATTAAACGATATTAAGAAGTTTAAGAGAAAGTGAATCACAAAGGCCAAACACATGGAAGAAAGTTGTCACTTGTTAAAGGAAATGAAGAGAGAACTCAGGAGGGGGTTAGTAGAGAAATTTCGAATTTTGTAGAAAATGAATAATCTTTGAAAGGCAAACATCAAAAGCTTTTGTTGGAAACAAGAACCATATGTGAGACTCAATATAAGCGAACTGCGAAATAATTATTTAGTGGAATACATAGTTCATACTGAGGAGCGAGGCTTCTTTGCTTTTCGCTACTTGAACAAAAGCGAAAAGAAAAAGCTTCTTTCATTTTCCTTCTTGAATCCTTTTCCGTTGACTAGAATTTCAGAGGAAAACAGTGTGTGAAAGCTAAAGGTTCATAGTTTAAGCTGTGAAGCAAAGCATTTTAGGCTGTTTTCCTACTCAAAAGAGGGATAGAAACTTATGGAGATTGCTATAGATCCTTGTAGCTTTGACAACACCTTAAGGTTTCTGGAGTCCGTTGAGATTAACTGGGATTTGGAAGCTCCAGTCAAGGTTCAAGTCCATACCCTCAAATTGAAAGCAAGATTTCTCAAAGCTTTTTTCACCTGCACAGGAAAGTGGTACATCAACAACAATGGCTTGAAAGCCATCCTAAGGCAAGTTGAAGATGTGGTCCTCAGTGCAGATCAAGAACTTCAACCTCTCTCGTTGAATTTGATACCAGATAACTTGTTTGTTCAATCTCAAGTGCACTAGAAAAGCTTGATCCAATAAAGCCACTCATTCAAGAAGTTTATGCTTTGGTTGCGCAGTCAACAAGATCCATTAGCTCAACAACTGATGCTGTTGTGGGACTTATTGACACTACTTTAGGCTATCTGAAGGATCTGCTGAAATATAAAGCTCAATCAATTGCCAATCTGAAGAAGGAAACTGAAGCCCTTGAAGAGAATCTGAGGTATCTGGGATATTTACTAAGAGTAACTAAAAAATACTTGCCAAGGGAGCATGATGACAGGTTAAGGGATGTTCTGATTCATTCTGAAGCTGCAGCTGATAGCACGGCATGTCTTATGTACCTGTGCTTGGACAACAATAAGATGGATGAACGCATGCTGAATGAGGTGAAGCTTCAACTTTCTTATCTACAGCATAGGATTGAAGTTATTCTGCCAGATGTTAGAAAGGTGTATCTCAGAGCCTGGAAAGCTTCGAGTTCTCTACAAAAGAGTGATTTTTCATTGAATGAAATTCTTTATCTTGAATCTCTAGGCAAAATTAAGGAGATATTGCACGTTAGTGTCAGTGTAGAAACTTGTGTGATGCAGCGGATCAATGCTCTCGAGGATGAGTTTAAAATCTAAGGGATTATCTTATGGATACTTCAGCTCAAGAGTACACTGATACTCATCCAAAATTGAAGCATCTATTTCTGCAAATCAAACATGTTATGGGCAGGGCAGCATGTGTTATTCCCTCGTTCATTGACAATGATGTTACTGAGGACACTGTTAGACAACTGGACCTTGATGCTCGTGTTTTGCTTGAAGAGTTCAAGGTTATCAAGCAAGAAGCTAGAGATATCTATGACAGCATATTGCCAAAATCCCAGAGGACCAAGTTCCCCACAACAAACGAATTAGGCTTTGTGGATTTTGTGATTCAGAATGCGAAGCAGCTGCTACACTCTAAAGATGACTTCATTGCTCTATTGTGGCATCAAATTGAGATGGTTCATGATCACATATTGTCTATGAGGGGAGATTTTATTGAAATTGCTAAGCATCCAAGAGAACATCAAGATCTGAAAGATCCCTGGACACGTTTCAAAGATGTTGTGTACCATATAGATTATGTTGTCGATTCGTTCCTCATCAAAGATCAACCTCTTTGGTATCATAAGTTGGGGCTATTTTATGCCATTGAAGATATTAAGATTATAAGCAGAGAGGTCAGTGATATCAAAGACAGAACAATGAATCACGTTGCAGCCCTGAAATTTTCCTCCAATGTTGCCGGTATTTCTTCACAAGCTAATTCAGGAGAGTTTCAAGTATTGTCACGTTCCATTTATGGGGCCGGAAATGAAGCAAACAAGCCTGGTGATTTCGTGGAACTTTTTGAGGATGAAGCAAAAAAGATAATGGAGCAACTCACCAATGGTATAATGCCATTGCAGATTCTCTCAGTTTGGGGATGCCTGGAATAGGTAAGACAACACTAGTTCATTCAATATTTGAAAATCCTTCCGTTCTTCTGCACTTTCATGTCCGTGCAAGGTGTTGTGTAACTCAGGTCTATCAGAAGAGAAGATTGTTGCTTGAAGTTCTGCAGCAAGTTAGTAAAGTAAGTTACAAGGTACTTGGAATGACTGACGACAGGCTGGCTCTGAAATTATATCAAAGTCTAAAAGGCAAACGTTATCTTATATTTGTTGATGATTTGTGGGATATTTGGCCGTGGAATGATATGAAGGCTTCTTTCCCAGATGATAACAATGGGAGTAGAATTGTATTCACAAGTCGATTTCATAACATTACTTCACAAATCACAACCAATAGTATCACCATTTTTCTGAATCCAATATCAGATCTTAGTAGTTGGGAGCTCTTGCAAGTCAAGCTATTTAAACAAGAAAGTTGCCCCCAAGAACTTTTTGGAATTGGACAGCAAATTGCAGCAAATTGCAAAGGCCTACCAATTGCTGTGGATTTGATAGCTGGACTACTTGGGACAAAGGACAGAAAGAAGGAATCCTGGAAACAAATTGCAAATGGTTTGAATGCTCACCTTCTGAAGACCAAAATGGTCAGTGCATGGGCATGCTAGAACTCAGTTATGACAACTTACCAAATCATTTGAAGCCATGCTTTCTTTATTTTGGAACATTTTGTGAGGATATAGAAGTCCCGACAAGTAAGTTGATACGGTTATGGATTGCAGAAGGATTTGTTGAACTGCAAAAGGATGATAAAGGAAGCTTAGAGGGTGCAGCTCAGAAGTATTTGAATGATCTAATTGCTAGGAGCTTAGTAATAATCTCCAAAAAAGGATCTCGAGGTGGAGTTAAAGCAAGCCGTGTTCATGATCTCTTGCGTGATTTTGCCTTGGCAAAAGCTAAAGAAGAGTCCTTTTTGCTAACAACAACGGATTTGAACAATTATCTTCGGTTGGTGATTCATTTTATGAGCCATATCGTCTGTCCATCAATTCTGGATCGGACTATTTTCCCAGAAGTTCTTTGAATCCAGCACATTTGGCAGGAATAACTCAAATCCAGTTATATTTTGGACTCCCTCTCCCTGCCTGTCATGTGTACCAAAAGCATGTGGCCATGGGAGTAAATCCTTGTCCACGTACCCGCTCTATGGTATATCGTGGGAGTATATTACGCAAGGTTTCATTCAGCTTTGACAATTTCAAGCTCCTTAGAGTGTTAGATATTTGGGCCATCGATATCGACTATTGTCCTAACATATTTGAGTTGGTTAATCTAAGGTTCTTGTCACTCAACCACTACAGAAGAAAGAGCATCCCACCAGAAATTGGCAACCTCCGGAACCTGGAAACTCTTATGTTGGGGAAAAATCACAATATCGATGTACCAACGACTGTTTGGAACCTGGTGAAACTGAAGCATTTGCTGATAAGGGGCTCTTATACCTTGCCTCCTTGCAGTCAAGAATTTCTGGAGAAGCCCTTCAAGTTGCATAGCTTACAAAGCCTTTCCACGCCGGATTTAGCATTTGGAGAAGATACTGAACAGATCCTGAGAGGCCTGTGCAATCTTCGAAAGCTAAGTTGCAGGTTTTTGTATTCTTGGGATTACACTTCCAACTGCATCCAGTTCCCAAATTTGGACTTCCTCACCCAACTTGAATCATTGAAGGTGGCCTACAGGGGAAAGGCACTTCATAAGGTTCAATCTTGTAAGTTCAGCTTTCCTGCGAATGTTAAAAAATTGACATTGTCAGGTTTTTGCTTGCCCTGGACTGAAATTTCAAGCATTGGGAACCTACCCAATCTTCAAGTACTCAAATTGTTGGATGATGCATTCGAGGGGACAACATGGGACATGAATGAAGGAGAATTTCGTAATCTCAGTTTCTTGAAATTAGAGCGGTTGCAATTATTACATTGGAATGCTTTTGAAGATCATCTTCCCAGCCTCAAGACAGTAGTGCTGGTAAATTGCAAAAAACTTGTGGAGATTCCCCCTTGTTTAGGAGATATACCAACATTGCAGAGCGTTGAATTGCGAGGTTGCAGTCACTCTTGTAGGTGCTCACTAGGAGTAATTAAGGAAAGGCAGATAGAAATGGGAAACGAGGAGCTAGCTGTCACCCTTGGGTAGCCATCAGAAGATTTTTTTACTAGCTAGAAGTGGTTAAAAAGTTGTATGTTTTCCTAGTTCCTTGTGTATTTATTTCAGCAAATTTATTGCTTTTCCATTAGGAGAATGTACATGTTGATTAGAAAAAAGCTCTGAAAAACAGAACAACAGGAGAAATATAAATGTTTCAAAATGCTTCTCTAATCTTTTTTTTTTTTGGTTATATATCTTGTTTGCAACTGACTTATTTACATGTTACAATCTACCAGCATTTGCGTGCAGCCAGCCAAGAGCATTGACCTTCTTCACAGAAAATGGAAGAAAAATCTGTTGCTCCATGCTAGGAGCTTCCAATAATACCCTAAGCACTAGAGGGAGAACAAAGTACAAAGTGCTTCCAAAAGCTTAGTTCTGTAAACTTGTATCTTGTAAGCTGCCTTGTGGTTGCAAAAGCATCATAGTTTGATGCATCTTGTGGCAATATATGACTTTTAGTCGCAACTTTGGTTTCAGGCAGAGCACCTGTGACCTGTTGAGAAATGTTGCTGGAAATTTGACAAAACTCTCATTTGTGACTATAATGGTCAGATTCTATTTATGCCTGCCTGTCTTAATAAACTATGCCACTTATGTCTTGGAGACTATGATAGTTGAAATACAAAACTTTTCTGAGATTGAATTCAGTTCTAATTTTCCAGCTGATTAACATTCTGCTTCAGTCAGTATAAACATGCATTTAATTCAGGATAGTGGCTGTGATGCCCCTGTAGTATTTTGCTTTTCTTTCTAGTTTCATGTTTCTTTTATGAACAAGTTTGAGTTGCTAGCATTGTGAACACTTCCTTTGATTCCTTCCTTGATGAATGGTGAAAAAAAAATTCACAGTAGAGGATTTACACACACACACACACATAAGCCTATAAATTCTCAATCCTAACATACCTTATAAACACTGATTACTTGTCACTAGAGCTACTCTTTCCTTTTACAGGTTTTTACTGAATGACTGCGTACAAGAAAGTCAATATGAATTAGCTGTTCAGGATTAGAAGTTAGGCAAGTAAGGAAACAGAACTAGGATGGTTGCAAGTGAGAATTTTCTCTTCTGCTTCAGAAATAAAAGTGGATAATTGCAGAAACCTCTCCTGAGGTTTCTAATAATTTCACTTGGCTCCCCTAAGGTTTTAAAAATTACACCTACCTCCCTCGCCCATTTAAAATGACAATACTAACCTTAGCATTTTTAATAAAACTCTCTTGTTACTATGTCTATGCAAAGGATGGATTTATAATTTTTTTACATTTTTCATTCTTATTCATTTCTCTTATATTTCATTAGAAGTATAGAAGAGCTATCAATGCTGCTCCGAATATCTATCCAAATTAAAAATTAAACTAGTAATATATTTTGATAACTTTTAATATCATCCAATTTTTTTGTAACTCTTTTTTTTGGTATCAAAATCAAGGATAAGTCAACAATGATTAAAAACAAATAGCCCAAAATCACTATTAAATTATGATAGTTCGCATCAACAAGCTAGTCCATAAACTTTTATTAAAAAGAAGTCCATAAACTTTAAAAGAAACAAATTAGCACTTTTTTCTATTTAAAATAAATTATATTTCCAATAAAGCACTATGAAAAATACCCTATTATATAAAAAGATTTATTGTTATAATTGATTATCAAATAACAAATATTGGCATGAAAAAATTGACACTCTTCTTGTTTAGAAGAACAAATTGAACTTTGTAAGATAAGAGCATTTAGAGTATTCATTAAATTTTTTACTCTATTTTAAAGTTTGGTTACCAAAGTATCAAATCAAGGGAGGTAAATGTAATTTTTAAAACGTTAGTAAGAAACCTCAAGGGAGGTTTCTGAAATTGTCCCAAATAAAATTAGCAGAAGTCCCTTAATATAGTGTATTTGTTTTACACACATGCCCTGTATCTGTTATTGATCATATTTATTCTTCAGAAGACACCAATAAATTGTACTTTTGGATGGCATGTTATTGAGATTCAGTCAGGATCACTGAGGGGTTCAAGTCACTGTCAGATGATCTAGGATACAGCAGGCAATGCATGTAACTGAAATTGACCACAATGAAGCATAATTGAAGACGCCATCAGCTGTTGCAAATGGACAAACTACTACTACTAAGACAGATCCTCCTCTACAAATGCACACGCCCAAGTGTGTGTGAGCGTCTATATATATATATATATATATATTTTGGGTGTAAGGCGGCATGAATTGATTGGGTACTATATATCCAGGAGCACAACACCCTGCAAACCAGTGCTGCTGGCTAATCCAGCTCACAATATTCAGTGGGGACTGGACGATTTGAATTGCTAGAGCAATTGCACCATACAATTAGTGATCCAGATGGGGTTGATTTGGAATTAATGGATGAGGTTCACTGTAATGCACGAGTTTCAGTGAATGGAAAAAGTTGCTTTTTGTACATTTTGTTACTTTAGTGTCTATATTTGTTGTCTTCGTGTGTACATCTTTTGTTTTCATGCATACATCTCAATTGAGACAGACAATTGTACAGACCACAAACATTTCTGTATAAACGAGGTAAAGGACAAGGTTTTCTAGCGATGGTACTTTCTATCCATCAAAATGGTCCAAGCATGCAAGAAATTGTCTATGGGCTGTCGGTGCAAGGAAAAATCTCGGATATCAAACGTCATGAGATTGTGTTTGATCTACAGCAAAACTCGAATTCGAATTTTATCCTATTCAAATTAACTCAGAATTCCAATTCCACCCCAATTCAAGTCCGATAGATAGTTGAGCACGGTCTGGAATTTTCTCAATGCAGTGCTGAGTCATGCATGGCCAGTTCTGCAGAACTGATACATGTCATGTTCTGGATTGAGTGATTTGGAGTTCAAAGTATGAATGACTAGTTGGATAAACAATACCAACAAAGTGGGCTTCAAATTTCATTGTATTTGTATGGTGAAAGAAGCTATAAATTTTCAAAGAAGCATAGAAAATTTTATTTATTCAACATGGTACAGCAAAATGAAGGAAAACAGGAATAAACAAATGAAATTCATATCAGGAACAATTGTTCAAAACCATCTCCAAAGTTTCTGTTTCAAGACATGATCAACTAGTGAAATCTTCATAGTCTGCATTCAGGAGGAAATCCTTGAGGGAACCGCTTATAATCAGTGCAATAATTGTATATCATAAAATTCTTCTGAACCCATCTCAATCTTCTTCTGCTATTGGCATCAAGTTCCTGGTTCTGCCATGCCCATTGGAGAGCTTACCAACAGTAGCGGTCTGAGCATTGAAATTCCTGTAGTACGCAGTAAAGGGTGCCTGTGTCCAGTCAGTTTTCACTAGTCCACCTCTTGTAGCCCAATCATCAGCATTCCAGAGGCTAGAGTAAATCCTCATCGGGTTGGTTTTTTGGGTATGGAACGCCAAGAGATCAGCATTCTTGAACTGTCTGATAGGAGTGTTATCTACCAAGAATCTGCAGGAGAAAGTTTAGAATATTATTAACTAAAATTTTGCTTATCGAATCATGGGTTGGGAAACATAAATTGAGCCTTTTGCTTACATAATGTGGTCACGAGTCCAGGCCATTGAGTAAGTGTGGAAGTTCTTTGTCGGATCAAACCAGAGATAAAATTGTTGTTCCCTGCCTCCCTTTCCTTGAGCGTAGACGTTAGTATGGAGGATGTAAGGCTGACCAGTGACATTCCCAGGAATTCAAAGTCAATTTCGTCATGTGTTGGTCCTTGAGAAGATAACTGCACAAGAACCAAATGATTGTTGTGCATAAGTGGAAAAGAAACAAGGATTAATCGCATATTATTGCATAATGAACTTCATGGATAACTCTGAAGAAATATGAGCGTGGCTTCAGAGGC